CTTGCAAAAAAAAAAAAAAGGAAGAGGAAGGGGGGGGAAAAAAAGAAAAGAAAAGACAACAGGGATCTTCGGAAAAGGCCATCTAGAATTTGGCGTTCAGCTTTGGAAGAATGACAGGCCTTTCCGGGCATCTGGCCAGAGAAGTTGGGGGGGGGGGAATGGCCAGGAAGGTTGCGGGGGAAGGTGTGGGGGAGAAATCCAACATTTCTTTAATCCAGCAGCCGGCTTCCCCTGCAGCTGTTCGCGCCCTGCCGTTGCCAAAATCCGGGTCTGGAAAACCTCCAGGGCCCCAAGAGGGAATGCCTCTCTCCAGCCCTGATGTTAGCGGAGGGATTCTGACAAACCCACATCGCTTCCTCTTTGCAAGCGACGGAAGGACGTTGGCGCTCTCCTCCTCCTCCCAAAGGGGCCTTGCAGCACAGGCAGCCCTCGACTTACGATGACTCGTTTAGTGACCGTTCAAAGTTACCACTGCACTGAAAAAGAGTGACTTAGGACCGTTTTTTCACCGTTAGAGGACCCCGTGATCATGTGATCCAAAATTCGGAGGCTAGGCTTTTGGTTCATATTTATGACCGTCGCTGTGTCCCTGGGTCATGAGATCCCCTTTGGCGACCGTCTGAAGACAGATTCACTTACCAACCGGGTGACTAATTATCAACTGCAGTGATTCATTTAACAACTGTGGCAAAAAAAGGTTGAAAAAAGGGGCAAAACTCTCTTTACTCGCTGAACGACAGAAATGTTGGGCTCCATTGTGGTCGTAAGTCAAGGATTTGGTGAACACTCTGTGGCTGACCTCGTGCTCCCGCCCTCCAGGTCTTAGAACGCTCGGCCTGGCCAATAGGAACTATCCAGGGTGCTTGGCCACGCCCACTGCCCAGGACTGCAGTAGAGCTAACTCAACTTATGACCACAGCTGGGATCAGAATTTCCATCTCTGCATAAAGCGAGTCATCACAGGACAGGAGCCAAGTTTACGAGCCTTTTTACTGCAGTTGTTGAGTGAGTCATGTGGTTGTAGTAATACTACTACTAATACTACTAATACTAATCTATATAAATAAAAATGTAAATGTTCGTTTGTTCAAAATCTTAAATCTCCGAAAGTTCTTCACCGACTGCTTTGAAATTTTGACACAACGCTGCATTCGAATACGCGCGTGTTTTTATATACCTATATTATATAGATGCCACACCTGTGACAGGTAAAACATGCTTTTTTGAAAAACAGCGCCATCTGTTGGACGTAAAAGCAACACACGCTTTTACCAGACTGAGCCACAGCAACGCGTGGCCGGGTACAGCTAGTAAATAAATAAATAAAGTTGGAAGGGATCTTGGAGGTCACCTAGTCCAACCCCCTGCTCAGGCAGGAAACCCTATACCATTTCAGACAAATGGTTGTCCGGTCTCTTCTTAAAAACTTCCTGTGTTGGAGCATTCACTGCTTCTGGAGGCAGGTTGTTTCACTGGTTAATTGTTCTCACTGTCAGGAAATTTCTCCTTTCTCCTAGGTTGCTTCTCTCTTTGGTTAGTTTCCCATCCGTTGCTTCTTGTCCAGCCTTCAGGTGCTTTGGAGAATAGCTTGACTCCCTCTTCTTTAGGGCAGCCCCTGAAATATTGGAACGCTGCTATCCTGTCCCCCCTCGTCCTTCTCTTTGTTAAACTAGACATACCCAATTCCAGCAACCGTTCCTTATATGCTTTAGCCTCCAGTCCCCTGATCCTCTTTGTTGCTCTTCTCTGTACTCTTTCTAGAGTCTCAGCATCTTTTTTACATCGTGGTGACCAAAAGTGGGTGCCGTATTCCAAGTGTGGCCTCACCAAGGCATTGTTAAGTGGTTGTTAAGTGAATCACATGGTCATTAAGAGAATCCAGCTCTCCCAATTGACTCTGCTTAATGGAAATAGGCTGGGGACGTTGCCAAGGGTGGTCACGTGACCTCAAGACATGGCAATTGTTGTAAATATCAGCTTGATGCCAACCAGCCGAATTGTGATCATGTAACTGCAGGGTGACCGTCCAGGATAGGTCATAAATTACTTTTTCTGAGGCTGTTGTCACCATCATGAAATGAATGGTTGTAAGAGCGGGTTAACTGCTTGGCTTTGGGGGAGGGCTCTAGGTATTTTTGCCTTTTGGAACCCCTCCCTCCAAAAAAAGCAATAGGATTAAAAATGATATTGCATAGGGTTTTCAATAGTTTGGGGGTTTTTTTACTGAGAAACAGGAAACAGTACGCAGTATGTGTATTATCTTGCAATAATCCACTGCTGCTAATTAATTATGAAGTCAGTTACTAACTTTTACACTAGATTGTTGATTTGATGCTGAAGCTGAGTGCTTTCTCGTTAACGGGGTTTTTTTTTTCCTTTAAAAGCCAACAAAATGAATGTTGTAGTAAAAATACAAAAATACGTAACCTCTACTTCATTTTTATTAACAGGGGGAAAAAATTAAAATGTTTTGTGGGCTCTAAGTACTGTGCTTGTTGTGCTTAATGGATAAATTGGTCTGGGCACCAGCTGGCTGGTTTGATGGCTTCACTTGGACCTAGATCTCAACTCTGGCAACTCTAAAACCTGTGAATTTAAACTCCATCATGCTGGCTGGGGAATTCTGGGAGTTGAAGTCCACTTATCTGAAAGTGGCTAAGTTTGAAAAACAGTGATCTAATGGAGGATTAGTGGAAAGCCATCTTCTCCAATGGGGAATTGTGACCACCCTAGACCAGGGGTCCCGAACCCCCGGTCCGTGGACCAGTACCGGGCCGCAGCATGCCAGCAACCGGTCCGCACAAACAAGGAAAGCCACATTCACAGGATGCAGGCAGCACACAAAACCACGTACCCTCAGGTCCGCGGAAAAACCTCTCTCCATGGAACCGTTCCCTGGTGCCCAAAAGTTTGGGGACCTCTGCCCTAGACCAAGCCAAGTCTAAAAACACTAGAGAATTCCTTGGCACTCAGATAAATCGGCCATCAACAGACACATAGAGGTGAACAACATCTATGCACCATTCAAAAGAGTCCATCAAAAAGCCAAAGAGGAAAAATAAAATACCAAACGATCTTCCCACCAGCAACCAACACCCAAATAAGCAGAGATTAACTCCAAGATTAACATCAGACCAAGAAGTGAGCAATACCCCAAGCAAAGCACTGCCAAACAAGCCAACAATAAACAACAGCTTAATCAAGGAACTACCAAGAACCCTCCCACCAATACTGGCAGGGCAAGCCACTAGAACAGGGGTCTTCAAACTTGGCCCTTTTATGACTCGTGGACTTCAACTCCCAGAGTTCCTCAGCCAGCATGCCTGGCTGAGGAATTCTGGGAGTTGAAGTCCACGAGTCATAAAAGGGCCAAGTTTGAAGACCCCTGGTCTTGATCCAAGCCTGCAGTTTCATCAAAATGGCCGACTGAGGAATTCTGGGAGTTGAAGTCCACCACTCATAAAAGGGCCAAGTTTGAAGACCCCTGGTTTGGATCCAAGCCCGCAGTTTCATCAAAATGGCTGACTGAGGAATTCTGAGAGTTGAAGTCCACCAGTCATAAAAGGGCCAAGTTTGAAGACCCCTGGTTTGGATCCAAGCCCGCAGTTTCATCAAAATGGCCGACTGAGGAATTCTGGGAGTTGAAGTCCACCAGTCATAAAAGGGCCAAGTTTGAAGACCCCTGGTTTGGATCCAAGCCCGCAGTTTCATCAAAATGGCCGACTGAGGAATTCTGGGAGTTGAAGTCCACCAGTCATAAAAGGGCCAAGTTTGAAGACCCCTGGTTTGGATCCAAGCCCGCAGTTTCATCAAAATGGCCGACTGAGGAATTCTGAGAGTTGAAGTCCACCAGTCATAAAAGGGCCAAGTTTGAAGGCCTCTGCCCTAGAATACAAAATGAGAGTAAACCCCATCCCCTACTAGCACTGATGATGTTACCTTGCTGGTCATGAAACGTCTGCAAGAAAAACAAGCAAGCTCAGAGAGAACCAAGGACCCCCACACAGTCCTCCCCCTCTTTCTCTTCCTTCCTTCCTCCTCCTCCCCTTCTCCACCACTCCATAAATCCCATTCTCTTCCAACACTGATGGCGTTACCAAGTTTGGTAATGAAACATCTTCCAGAAAAACATTCAAACTCAGAGCGCACCAAAAATGCCGCACCTTCTCCAAGCTGGTGGCCCCCCCTCCCCAGATGTGAATCCTGCCCTTCCAACCTTCCCAGGCAGCAAGGACTTCTGGGAATTGTAGTCCCACAATATTCGGGAGGCACTGGGCAGAAATGAAGACTAATATCAAACAGGGGTGCTATTGCACGATGTGGGAGAACAGCCCCCATTGTTGGCGTAGCTGTCTGGGGATGACGGAAGTTGTAGTCCACCCCCACACCTGCACACCCAGGAACCCATCCCTCCTCATGACATACTGTGGCCAGCTCCTTGGTCGGGCGAGTCGGGGAGGCACTGCTGGAAGACGCCATGGATGTGGGGCTGTGGTGGCCCAACTCTTTCCGATGCAAAGTAGCTTTGTCGACCCCATTTTCTCGGGAGGAGAAAGACTGGACGCTGTGTGGGGAAGAAGGATCCTGTGGTGGGGAGAGGGAAGACCTAGGTTAGGCTTTAATCTTCCTCATCTCCCTGTTTTCAGCCCCTCTCCCCTCATATTTATTATTTTTCACAGTGTTTTTCAAGCTGGGCCACTTGAACACCTGTGGACTTCCACTCCCAGAATGCCTCAGCCCAGCAGGGAATTCTGGGAGTTGACGGTCTCAGGTTTTCAAGTGGCCTAGTTTGAAAAAAACCCCCACTATCTTCGAATTCTGAGTCTTTTCTCAGACCTCCAGGTGGCAGACACAGGGCTCCCCCCTGGTGCCCCTAACAACAACCCTGTAGGGTAGGTTAGGCCGAGACTGAATGGACTGCCCCAATGTCACCCCCTGGACCCCCAGCCTTGACGATCTCTTTCAGCCTAACTCACCCCTCAGGTCACTGTTGTGGGGCCTGAGGGGAAGGAGGAGAGTTATACAGGTAGTCCTCGACTTGCGACCAAAATGAAGCCCAACATTTCTGTGGCTAAGTGAGACATTGGTTAAGTGGGTTTTGCCCCGTTTGACGACGTTTCTTGCCACAGTTGTTAAGTGAATCACTGCAGCGGTTAAGTTAGCAACACGGGTTGTTAAGTGAATCTGGCTTCCCCCGTCAGAAGGTCGCAAAAGGAGATCACGTGAGGAATCCTGGACACTGCAACCGTCATAAGTATGAGTCAGTTGCTGAGCATGTGAATTTTGACCAGGTGACCACGGGGATGCTGCAATGGTCATAACTGTGAAAAAAAAGCTCAAAGGTAACTTTTTCCAGTGCCGTTGTAACTTTGAACGGTTGCGAAATGAACTGTTGTAAGTCGAGGACTACTTGTATGTCCTATATAGCAGGGGTCTTCAAACATGGCCCTTTTACGACTTGTGGACCTCAACTCCCAGAATTCCTCAGCCAGGCACGTGCATGCCTGGCTGAGGAATTCTGGGAGTTGAAGTCTACAAGTCATAAAAGGGACAAGGTTGAAGACCCCTGCTTATGGACTTCAACTCCCAGAATTCCTCAGCCAGGCACGCTGGCTGAGGAATTCTGGGAGTTGAAGTCCACAAGTCACAAAAGGGCCAAGTTTGAAGACCCCTGTATATAGGATATAAGAAAGCATATAAATCCAACAAATAAAGGAATACATTTCAGGTGGCAGAGGAGGAATTTGGCAATAGATCCTTGAAGAAGTGAGTGTTTTTTTCAAACTTGGCCCTTTTATGACTTGTGGACTTCAACTCCCAGAATTCCCCAGCCAGCGTGCCTGGCTGGTGAATTCTGGGAGTTGAAGTCCACATATCTTACAACTTCAAGAAATGCTCCTTTAAGCCATTCATTGTTGCTTCAATATATACTCCACCCTTCCAGTTCCCCCTAAATTCACTGGTCTACCTCCTCCGGGTGCCAGAAGCCCCCCCCCCCAGCTTCATTGCTCTTTAAAGCATTTTTAGAACTTAACACACACACACACACACACACACACCAGGATATATACTAAGTAAAACTAACCTCATCCACGACCAGATTATCTTCGCTTTTCTCCCCATCGCTACCCTGAAAGAAATCAAAAGGGGGGTGGACAGAAAAAGAGATTTATTTCTCAGTGACATTCAGGAAGCGGGGGGGGAGGGCGATGCAAACTGATAAGGGGACATTTGGGTCATCAGAACAGGAGTTGCAGATGAAGGCCGCAACCTGCAGAAGAACAAGAAAAATTTCATACGGGTAGTCCTCAACTTATAACCACAATTGGGATAGAAACATCCCTCGCTAGGCCGTATGGTCGTTACAGGAGTCACACCTGATTTTTATCTCTTTTTGCTACGGTTGTTAAGTGAAACGCATCAGTTATGAAGTGAATTGCATGGTTGTCGAGGTAATCTCCGGTTATTAAGTGAATCATATGGTTGTTAAACAAGTCTGGCTTCCCCCACTGTCTCTCGGCTCGTTGGAAGATGTCTGGGAAGGTTGAAAATGGCGACAATATGAGCCTGGGACACTGCAGCCATATCCTAAGCATATGGTAAATATAATAATAATAATAATAATAATAATAATAATAATAATAATAATAATAATAATAATAATAATAATAATAATAATAATAATAATATAAGTTGGAAGGGACCTTGAAGATCATCTATTCCAGCCCCCTGCTCAGGTAGGAAACCCTATACGTTTCAAACAAATGGTAATTTTCAAATAAATAAATGGTAATATTAAATATACGCTGGTTGCTGACTGCTAAAATTTGTATCATGTGACCATGGGGATGCTGCAACAGTCTTAAGTATGAAAACTAGTCGTAAGTCACTTTTTTTCCCCAAGGCTGTTGTAACTTCGGTCACTAATCAAGTAGTTGTAAGTCGAGAACAACCTGTCCGATATGGTACAGGTAGTCCTCGACTTAAAACAATTCATTTAGTGACATTCAAAGTTACGACGACACTGGAACGAATAACGTATGACTGCTTTTTACACTTAGGACCGCTGCATCATCCCCATGATCACGTGATCAAAATTCAGACGCTTAGCAACTGACTCGTATTTACGATGGTTGCAGTGTCCCGGGAGTTATGTGATCCCCCTTTGATGAACTTCTGACAAGCAAAGTCGATGGGGGAAGCCAGATTCACTTAACAACCATGTGAATAATAGTAGTAGTAGTAGTAATAGTAGTAGTAGTCGTCGTCGTAGTAGTAGTAGTAGTAGTAATAATAATAATAATAATAATAATAATAATAATAATAATAATAATAATAATAATAATAATAATAATAATAATAATAATAGAGTTGGAAGGGACCTTGGAGGTTATCTAGTCCAACCCCCTGCTCAGGCAAGGAAACCCTATATGCCATTTCAGACAAATGGCTGTCCAGTCTCTGCAGTGATTCACTTAACAACTGTGGCAAGAAAGGTTGTAAACTAAGGAGAAACTTCCTGACAGCTAGAACAATTAACCAGTGGAACAACCTGCCTCTAGAAGTGGTGAATGCTCCAACAATGGAAGTTTTTAAGAAGAGACTGGACAGCCATTTGTCTGAAATGGTATTCAGTTTCCTGCCTGAGCAGGGGGTTGGACTAGATGACCTCCAAGGTCCCTTCCAACATCATCATCATCATCATCATCATTATTATTAAATGGGGCAAAACTCACTTAACAACAGTCTCACCTTAGCCACAGAAATCTTGGGCTCATTTGTGGTCATAAGTGGAGGACTACCTGTATTTTTATCTGGGCTACGAGTTTCAGAAGGAAGGAAAAATATCCAGCAACAAGGACACAGACCGACTCCGTCACCCACTTGCAAAAAATTTGAAGCCGAGCGGCACCCAACCCTCGTCCCAAGGCCTGCTTGCTCAAAAAGGGAAGCCACTCACGTAATCTGTGCTGTATTCTTTTTCTGTCTTCCTTTTTTTGCTACTGTTCAAGTAATCCGAAATGGCCCGCATCCTTTCGCCGTTCGACAGCACCAAAGAGCTCTGCAGAAGAAAAAGACGAAAAAGGGACGTAAGCTTGGGGACTGTTTCACAGTGAGACGGAAGGAGATTCAAAAAGATCTTGACAAAGTGGAACAATGGGCCCTCTCCAACAAAATGAGTTTTAATGTAGAGAAAAGCAAAGTTTTACATTTAGGCAGGAAAAATCAAAAGGGTTTAAGTACAGATTAGGTGAGACCTGATTCAAAAACAGCAACTGTGAGAGGGACCTTGGAGTCCTAGTGGACGATCACTTGACCATGAGCCAGCAGTGTGCAGCAGCGGCCAAAAAAGCTAAGTCATAAAAGAGCCAAGTTTGAAGACCTCTGCTTTAACACTTGTGGACTTCAACTCCCAGAATTCCTTTGTCAAGATCTTTTTGAATCCTGAGCTTGTCTTCTGGGGTGTTGGCTACCCCTGCCAATTTGGTGTCATCTGCAAATTTGATGAGTTCCCCTTCTATTCCCTCATCTAAGTCATTTATGAAGATAATAATAATAATAATAATAATAATAATAATAATAATAATAATAATAATAATAATAATAATAATAATAATAATAATAATAATAATAATAATAATGATGATAATAATAATAATAATAATAATAATGATAGTGATAATGTTGAAAGGGACCTTGGAGGTCATCGAGTCCAACCCCCTGCTCAGGCAGGAAACCCTATACCATTTCAGACAAATGGCTGTCCAGTCTCTTCTTAAAAACTTCCAGTGTTGGAGCATTCACCGCTTCTGGAGGCAGGTTGTTCCACTGGTTAATTGTTCTCACTGTCAGGAAGTTTCTCCTTAGTTCTAGGTTGCTTCTCTCCTTGATCAGTTTCCATCCGTTGCTTCTCGTCCTGCCTTCAGGTGCCTTGGAGAATAGCTTGACTCCCTCTTCTTTGTGGCAGCCCCTGAGATATTGGAAGACTGCTATCATGTCCCCCCTCGTCCTTCTCTTCATTGAACTAAACATTCCCAATTCCAGCAACCGTTCCTTATATGTTTTAGCCTCCAGTCCCCTAATCATCTTTGTTGCTTTTCTCTGTACTCTTTCTAGAGTCTCAGCATCTTTTTTACATCCTGGTGACCAAAACTGGATGCAGTATTCCAAGTGTGGCCTTACTAAGGCATTGTAAAGTGGTATTAATACTTCATGTACTGGGCCTAAGACGGAGCCTTGTGGTACCCCACTGCTTACTTCTCTCCATGTAGATGTAGTGCCATTGAGGACTACTCGCTGAGTAGTTTGTCAGCCAGCTACAGATCCATCTGATGGTGGTGTTGTCTATCCCATCTTTTTCTAGCTTTTCTAGCTTACCAAGCAGTAGGTTGTGGCCTACTTTTGTCAGTAAGACCCTCATGCCTTACTGAAGTCAAAGTATACTATGTCCACAGCATTTCGTTGGTCTACTAATTTGGTCACTTTATCAAAGAATGAAATAAGATTGGTTTGGCATGATCTGCTTTTAACAAGCCTGTGCTGGCTACCGGTTATAACTTTGTTTGCTTCTATTGTTCGCAGATCGGTTTTTTGATTATCTTTTCCAAGATCTTCCCAGGTATTGATGTTAAACTGATTGGTCTGTATAGTTTCCTGGGTGTTTTTGTTTTTTCCTTCTTGAAGATGGGAACCATATCAGCCCTTCACCAATCATAAGGTACTTCTCCAGTGTTGCAGGATTTTTGAAAAATATGGTACAATGGTTCTGAGGTAACATCTGCCAGCTCTTTCAGAACTCTGGGATGTAATCTGTCAGGTCCCGGTGATTTATATTCATCAAGGTCGGATAGGTGTTCTCTTACCATTTTCTTGCTTATTTTAATTTTTGTTTCTAGTTTGTCTTTTGCAGTAGTTTTTGGGGTATGTTGGGCTATAGTTTCTTTTTGCGTGAAGACTGATGCAAAGAATGAGTTAATCAGCTCTGCTTTTTCCCTGCTGCCCGTTACTTCCTTGCCATCTTCTCTCTTTAGTGGACCTACAGTTTCCTTGACTTTTTTCTTGTTGTTAATATGTTGGAAGAAATGTGTGTTATGTATGGGTATATTATATATTTTCTTTTGAGAGTGTGTGGCAACCGAATTTTGTTTTTAATCTGTGCCAGTGCGGTCACCGCAAAAAAATGACAATAAAGGTTATCTAATCTAATCCAATCTAAATACACCCCAAAGGGGCGTTTTGCCCCGCCTGCCAACCTTCTTCCTGCTTATTTCCAAGACAGAAAGTCACCCCTTGAGTGTGCACGTTTTCAGAGGGAGCCTGGGAATCTGGAAACCTATTTGGGGGTTCAGCCTGCAGAATCGGATCCAGAAAGGACCCCAATTATTTGCATTAAAGGCCAACCACCACCACCACCCCGGCAAATTTCAAATTGTCAGATTTTTGTGCCAGCTTCTTGGTCCTTATTCCTTGATTGTCTCCAATTATTTGCATTAAGGGCTAAAAAAAAAACCCAGCAAATTTCAAATTGTCAAATTTTTGTGCAAGTTTCTTGGTCCTTATTCCTTGATTGTCTCCAATTATTTGCATTAAAGGCCAAACACCCCACCCCCCCGGCAAATTTCAAATTGTCAGATTTTTGTGCAAGTTTCTTGGTCCTTATTCCTTGATTGTCTCCAATTATTTGCATTAAGGGCCCCAAAAATCCCCCGGCAAATTTCAAATTGTCAAGATTTTTGTGCCAGCTTCTTGGCCATTATTTCTTGGATGTCTTGTGCAAGCACCACTCTACTTACATCATCATAACAGCTTTTGTAAAAAAAAAACAAAAAAAAACCCAGCAAAAAACTCCATTGGTGATAAACAGCCTTTTCCTATTCTCTTTGGTTCAGAGGTTCTCTTCCTTGCTGGGGGCTAGGAGAAACAATTGGGGGGAGGGTGCAGAGAAAGAAAGGATGGGGGGGGTGAAAAAGCAAAGAGACTTACGGGTCCGGGGTCTCTCTCTGTCGCCATGGCAACACGGAACAGCAACAAGGCAAGAAGAGATGGGTTTTAGTATCAAAACAGAAGAACGCCTGCAACTGTACCCAAACCCCCCCCCCACGCCACAACGGTACAAAATGTGAAAATTAAATTATCACGGAGTTGCATTTCTCCGCTCTCTTTAATTGGAGGAGGAGGAGGAGGAGGGGGTTCAAAGACATTTGGGAAAGAGGATGCCTCTCCAAAATTGAGGCTTTTTTTTTTCCTCTCATTCCTTGTCAAAGTTGTACCGCTAAAATTATCCATATTGGGGGCTGGCATTTGTCTAGGGCCGTGGTGGCGAACCTATGGCACGCGTGCCACAGGTGGCATGCAGAGCCCTCTCTGTGGGCACGCGTGCCATTGCCCCAGTCCTAGGCCTTCAGCTGGGTTTTATAAAACCTTTTTGCCTTAGGCCTCCACCGCCGTGTGCAAAAAAAAAAAAAAAAAGGTTCAATCAATCAATTTCAACTTCTCGCGGGGGAAAAAAAAAGATCTCGCAAAGTTGGAATTGATTGAACTTTTTAGTCCCACCCAGTCTGCCATTACCACTGCAGCCACGCCCACCCAATAGGCCATGCCCACCCAATAGGCCACACCCACCCAATGAGCCACACCCGCCCGGCACCCAACAATACATAAGTGGGTTTTGGGTTGCAGTTTGGGCACTCGGTCTCTAAAAGGTTCGCCATCACTAGTCTAGGGCCAGCGATAAGTGGGACAGGGGTGACTAGCAACGAAAAGGACTTTGAATTCTTTTCTCCTCGGCTGCCGACATAGGTCAAGGTTTGCAGCTGATCCTCTAATTCAGGGGTCCCCAACCCCCGGTCTGTGGACCGGTACCGGGCCGTGGCATGCCAACAACCGGTCCGCACAAACAAGCAAAGCCCCATCCGTGGGATGCAGGCAGCACACAAAACCACGCCCTCTCCGGTCCGCGGAAAAACCTTTCTCCACGGAACCGGTCCCTGGTGCCCAAAAGGCTGGGGACCTCTGATCTAAGAAATACAGGTAGTCCTCGACCTACGACTTGGAAAATGTGTTGCTATGCGGTGCAGCCGTGAAGGGAAGCACCAGGGGACTGTATCTGAGTTTATGAGCTTTTTTTTTTTTGGTGTTGAGCGAAGACATGATTTTTTTTTAATTTGGCTGTTAAGTATGGTTAAATGATCGGTTGTTAAGTGAGACATCACGTAATTGTGATTTCCAGGCTTCTCTGTCGGCTTTCCTAATGGCTTTGCTTCCTGGAAGCCGTCTGGGAAGGTCACGAATGACACGATCCCCGGATGCTGTAATAGTCGTAAGTGCAAGGACTGATCATATGTCAGTTTTGGCCAGCGCCTTTTTACTTTCAGAAGGTTTTTAAAGGATTAGTCGCAAGTCGAGGACTATCTGTAACTATGTTGCAAATTGTTCATTAATAAACTATCTAGCATGAGCTAAATCAGAGGGGTCCAATCTTGGCGACTTTAAGGTTTGAGGACTGGACTGGGACATGGCTGGCAAGGGAATTCTGGGAATTGAAGTCCCCAAGTCTTAAAGTTGGATGCCCCGGAGCTAAATACACTGAATGAAATAAATAAAAGAGCTAGTAATAGCAAATTCATCTGGCTAACTGCTCTATATTTATACTTTTTTTTTTTCTTTTTTACTTACAGTTGACTTTTTTTCCTAACAACCCATTTCTAAATTTGGGTTGGGACCCTCAGAATTCCCACCTTATAAAAAAAGCTCATTTCACTGGGAAGGGCAATCTCAATGCCAATGAGCAAATGTATTTTGTAAGGTCGGTGCATTCTTTCAAAACCACTCAAAACACCAGTATTTCTCAAACCTAGAAACTTGAAGGTATGCAGACTACAACATCCAGAATGCCCAAACCAGCATGCTATTTTTTTCCAAGATCAAAGTGAAAAATTGTTTTAAACTAGACATTCAATGTTTCTGCATATTGCAATGAAAACCCACAAGTTACAGCAGTGGTTCTCAAACAGGGCAACTTTAAGACTTTAACTCTCAGAATTCCTTAGGGAGCATTGGTGGACTTCAACTGCCAGAATTCTCTAGCCATCATTTGTGGAATTCAACTCCCAGAATTCCCCAATGAGCATTTGTGAATTTTCAACTCCAAAATTCCTTAGCCAGCATTTGTGGACTTCAACTCCCAGAATTCCAGGACCTGAAATCTATGAATGTTGGCTGGGGAATCCTGGAATTTGAAGTCCACAAATACGCACTAGGGAATTCTGGAGTTGAAAGTTCACAAATGCTCATTGGGGAATTCTGGGAGTTGAATTCCACAAATGATGGCTAGGGGATTCTGGGAGCTGAAGTCCACAAATGCTTGTTGAGGAATTCTGGGAGCTGAAGTCCACAAATGGTGGTAGGGAATTCGGTAGTTGAAGTCCACAAATGCACATTGAGGAATTCTGGGAGTTGAAGTCCAAAAATGCTGACTGGGGAATTCTGGGAGTGAAGTCCACAAATGCTCACAAGGGAATCCTGGTAGTTGAAGTCCACAAACAGTGATAGGGAATTCTGGTTAGTTGAAGTCCACAAATACCCGTTGAGGAATTCTGGGAGTTGAAGTCCAAAAATGCTGGCTGGGGACTTCTGGGCATTAAAGTCTGCACACCTTAAAGTTAACACGGTTGAGAAATCCTGCTAGACCCAGCCTCCCACCTCCCCTCCCTCCCATTTAGGCAAAGTTGATCAACCGGGACAGGGGTAGGCAACCTTGGCTCTTTTATGACTCGTGGACTTCAACTCCCAGAATTCCTGAGGCAGCATGGCTCAGCTTGGAAACCTCTCCCTTTCCCCTCAGCGTGGCTGGCTCAGGAATTCTGGGAGTTGAAGTCTACAAGTCATAAAAGGGCCAAGTTTGAAGACCCCTGCTCTTAATCTTCATTCTAGGATAGGGGTAGGCAACCTTGGCTCTTTTATGACTCGTGGACTTCAACTCCCAGAATTCCTGAGCCAGCATGGCTCAGCTTGGAAACCTCTCCCTTTCCCCTCAGCATGGCTGGCTCAGGAATTCTGGGAGTTGAAGTCCACCAGTCATGAGGGGGCCAAGGTTGCCCACCCCTGAACCAGGAGAACCTTTCACAGCTCCCTGTCAAAGCAAAGCCGAGGGAATCTACTCTCGCAGAACCAAAGGTGATCTGGAGAAACCTACCTCGGTTATCGGCGTCGAGAAGCCCTCGGTCATCCTTGGCGACCAGGTGAGCTTGTGTCCCCAGGGCTCCCGACAGCGCCAGCAGCCCAGAAGCGCTACCGAGGCTGGCCAAGCTGGCAGACTGGACGCCGGAAGGGTGGGGGGTCAACGGGATGGGGGGCGCGTGGTGGGAGAGGTGCTGAGCTTGAAGCTGGTGCTGAGGAGACAGAAAGAAACCGAAGAGCCTCAGATCAACCGCTTCCCTTTTTTACCGTTTAAGGAAGCCCTAAAAGCAGACGTGCATTTTTCATGCGCTGGCGTTTAAAGCAGGGCTTTTCAACCTTTTCACCCATTGTACCACTTTTAGGATATGGCAACATCAGAGTACCACCAGTCGCCTAGCAAGGTGTCAAAAACTTGACCAAAAAAAAAAAAGGGAAAAAAGTGATAAAGTACAGGTAGTCCTCGACTTACAACAGTTCACTTAGTGACTGTTTGAAGTTACAATGGCACTGAAAAAAGTGCCCCCCCCAAGCCACAGCCGAGTAAGACACCTGCCTGCCCGCCCGGTGGCGCTCTTCCTCCTGTCCGAGGTTTTCATTGTTGTGAGCATTTCTGTTGAGGATTGGCAGCGGGGGTGGGGTGGGGGGTGTTTGGTTTTTATTCCCCCCCCCCCCCGTCTGCTGGGTGGTTGCAGCAGGTTTTGGTCACTTCACAAGACCCTGGGACACTGGGACCGTCATAAATATGAATCAGTTGCCAAGCATCTGAATGTAAATCACAAGACCCTGGAGATGCTGCAACATTCCAGCTGATTGGTGCTTCTTCAGGGCTCAGCAGAAGCGCCAGGATCAGCACAGAGCTCCAGCTGGAGCCTGGCGCTGATCCTGGCGCTTCCGCTGAGCCCTGACAGTCCTGAAGAAGCGCCGATCAGCTAAAAAGCGGCACTGATCCTGGCGCTTCCGCTGAGCCCTGACAGCCCTGCAACTCCAGCCATCTCTCACTCAGGCTTGTGCGGTGCTGCCACCGGTTCAGCTCATTCCCCTCCCCCGCTACCACTTTTCTAGGATGTTCGCGTACCACCTGCCAGGTGCCAATGTACCACAGGTGGTACCCGTACCACTGGTTGAAAAGCCCTGGTTTAAAGGATGGCCTTTGGAATTAATTAATTGTCCATCCATCCTGCCTTTCGTACTTTGTAAATAACTACGAGTCAACCAACATGTCTCATAATCCTTCCTCTTCCTATTTTCCTCACAGCAACAACCCTGTGAGATGGGATGGGCTGAGAGTTAAGTGACTAGAACTCACCATCTCCTGGTGATCGGGCCGGAGTCACCCAGCTGGCTTTTGTGGAGGACGACTACCTACAATCGATCTTTGTATTTATGATGTTTGCAGGTTGATAAACGGAAGGAAAACTGAAAAAAGTAAGGCTGGGTTTTTCACAGTAACTGCTTCACTTAATAACCGAGTTGCTGATCCCAATTCTGGTTGCTAAACGAGGACTATCTGTTATCTGTACCGAGCTGAATAATAACAGACTTGTACGGAATGTACACAATGCAAAAAAAGAAGGAAAAAAAAATCTCACGGCACACTAGAAACAACCCCCTGGCACAACTGTGTGTGCAGCACGGTGTGAAAAACACCGCTATAAAACAAGGAAGCCGTGTTTGAAGCCCGAGAGCCATAGCAAGGACGGGTTTTAATGCATTCCCTTTTATTGTTTGCATCGTTATTGCCACATTAATTTTTATTAATTAGATATTAGCTGCTAGGAGCCTTTGCAGCTGGATGGAAAGCAGAGACGGGCACGCAGAAAAAAAATAAGTAACAGATGTCAGCAACCTCTTCAAAGGCAGAGTCCCCTGAGGTCTGCAGGGTGTGGTTAAAAAAAGGCGGGAAATACAATTCAACGTTTAAAGTTACCACAGATCCCACCCCCCGCCCCGAAAAAGTATTTACGACCAGGTTCCGAAGTTGCAACGGCCCATCCGCCTTCCGTGGTCGTGTGACCACATGGCAATTAATCCACATTTACAGTTTTAGGCAATACTGTAAACCCATATCAAGTAATGGGATCACCATGGATTCAATTAATGTCCATGGTGATTCATTTAATTGGCCTTTGCAACAAAAAAAGGGTCAAAAAATTGGCTGAGTCATAGGATGGTCTGTTTTACGACTGTCATGACCCTAATGCATAGGTCCCCAACCTTTTGGGCACCAGGGACCGGTTCTGTGGAGAGGTGTGTCAACGCTGCTAACATCGGATCTTTTTGCTTTGACAACAGTTGGAGATGCAACCATTTTCTTCTTATGTTTTACTCTTAGAGTTAGAGTTAGATGATGTTGGGGGGAGGAACGTGCATGAGAGTTTAGCTAGACATAACAATACTGAACCTAGTGTGAGAACCAAGGTTATTGAAATAAGAGATGATAAGAATTGGCAGGCTGGAGAACTGGAGGGGAAGCCTGCATTTCAAACTAATTGGAGAATGTGATTTATGACTGTTAATTGGAGCTTTGATACTATGTGCTCAGGGGAGGGGAACTCAGTTTTTGGCTTGACTATGCTATTTATTTATTTATTTATTTATTAATTGCATTTATATCCCGCCCTTCTCCTTACGGACTCAGGGCGGCTGACAAATTCGATAAAATACTAACATATATACATATTATGCCTAATTAAAAATTTAATTAAAACGAAATATTTAAATATGTCCAATTAAAAGTAATTTAAAACCCCTATAAAATCCCTTAGGCCAGTCCC